TTTGTTTCCCATACCAAAATAGAATTTATTTGCTTTATACATAGTGACCTGACCAGTTTTATTAGGAGAAAACAGAAAAACTATAATCTTTAAGAAAATTAAACTTTTAAATATCCATTTTTGACCTGAGGTGTTAAACCCTTCAGCTCTGTGCTGTTCACAGAGTAAATATTTAAAATGCAGTGTTTGGGCTCGCTGTTTAATTTTTGACTTCTACTTAATCACGTGTGCTCTGGCTTGCTTTCAGGATTGCTGTCTCTGCACATTGTGGGAATTCTTCTAACTTAGCTCTGTTTCCCATTTTGTATACATTATATTAAAACCAAAGTCTCCCCACTAACTGACTTTAATTCTCTTCTTGTCTATTCTAATATCTCATGGATTTCCTTTTGTAGCCTTGTCTAAAATATCCTAAATGGTTGGAAGGTTGCTTTCCAATTTAAACCACTCTTAGGGTAGGCAAATGGCTGGGACCCTTGAGGGCATATCATACACGGTGGTGGAGAGGGGTAAGGATTTAGATTACTATGAGAGAGAAATGCATCATTATTAAATACAGTTCATCTTAGCAGAATTAGGTACTAGACTTTTTTTTCCAAAAGGAGCATAATACAGAAAATAACCATATCTTTTTCCTTCACAATTTTTGTTATTAATTCCGTCGGAGACAGGATATTTGCTACATGTGCAAGTAGCATAACCTCTGATGGGCTTGGGAGTTTGTTTATACCCTTAAAAACACAGAATTTTAGGTGTAGAAGTGGTCTTATACTACCATCAGATAGTACTCATCAGATTCCCTTTCCTTCAGTGCGACTAAACTTTGTTGTCATTTCTTTCTACCATGTTTTCCATAGACTCCCACTCTTACTGGTTTTATCCTTTACCAGTGTCAGTCAGTTCTCTGTAAAGGCACGTGTCACACTGTGTGGCAATCATTTGTTCATACAAATGTCTTTCTCTTTGGATCATAAACTGTGTAAAGGCGGGAAGTGGTCTATGACCACATACTTCCCAGTGGCCAGCTGAAAGCCTAGTTTATGGTAAGAACTTAAGGAAGATTAACACCCTCGTAGTAGCTAACAACCCCCAAATCTCAGTGGCTTAAGACAGTCTTGGGTTGGCAAGGGTCCTGTTTCACGGTGTCCTCATTGAGGGGTATAGGCTAATAAAGTCTGGATAAACTTGGATTCATGCTAGGCATCTTGGCAAGGGGGTGGAAAGAGTGAATCATGCCCCAGCCCTTCATGTTTCAGCTTGGAACTGACATGTCACTTTCTCTTAGGAGACATAGCCATACACGCCTATGACCCTGGGAGCAAGAGCAACACCTCTTTGTTTCTGAGAGGAGGAGAACAGGAATGTTCGCCAGCGCCACTAATACCTAAGTCAATATCTGATACATGGTGGGCACCTGAGAACCATTGAATGAATGAAGTACTTAGAACTTTCTGCTGGGATTTTAGATTTTTCCACACAGTAAGCAGAACCACTTCAAATATATATACTGTTAACTACTTTTTAAAAATTAATTAATTAATTTTTTAATATCTTTTCAGCATAACAGTATTCATTGTTTTTGCACCACACCCAGTGCTCCATGCAATATGTGTCGTCCTTAGTACCCACCACCTGGCTCCCACAACCTCCCACCCCCGCCCCTTCAAAATCCTCAGGTTGTTTTTCAGAGTCCATAGTCTATCATGGTTCACCTCCCCTTCCAATTTCCCTCAACTCCCTTCTCCTCTCCATCTCCTCATGTCCTCCATGTTATTTGTTATGCTCACAAATAAGTGAAACCATATGATAATTGACTCTCTCTGCTTGACTTATTTCACTCAGCATAATCTCTTCCAGTCCCATCCATGTTGCTACAAAAGTTGGGTATTCATCCTTTCTGATGGAGGCATAATACTCCATAGTGTATATGGACCACATCTTCCTTATCCATTCGTCCGTTGAAGGGCATCTTGGTTCATTCCACAGTTTGGCGACCGTGGCCATTGCTGCTATAAACATTGGGGTACAGATGGCCCTTCTTTTCACTACATCTGTATCATTGGGGTAAATACCCAGTATGTTAACTACATTTTTTAGAAGATGAGGATGCTAATATTACTTTACAAGCTATGTTCAGCAGACTTCTGAGAATTGTCTTGTAACCACTCTGTTCACTTTACTCATATTAGGGAAGGCATTGTGTTTGATTTTCTAGTTTTTCAGATGCTTAGAGTATGGAATGGGTACATTTGCATGATTTAACGCTTTGCCTGAGTCATTAAGAAGAAGAGCTGGGAAAAATGTTAAAGTCATCAAATATTTACATATTAAGTTAGTCTGACCAAGAAGCTTTTTTAGAAGAGTTAATATCTGGCTCAACAATTGGACAAGAGCTTTGGAAAAATGAGAACCTAATCGACTTAAAAGTGAAGTATTTCTGAGAACATTTAAGTTCTACTTTCTGAGCAAATTTCAGTGATGTAACAATGTTTTCGACTACAATATAGTCACGATGTTTTACATTAGATCCTCAGATACCCACCTTGTAGCTGAAAATCTGTGCCAACTCATTTACAACTTGAATGTTCTCTCTCTCTCTCTCACACAAGCACAGACACACACACGTGTTTGTGAAGTGATGGATGTGTTAACTAACCAGATGGTGAGACGCCATTCATAACATAATGTACATTAAATCACCATAGTGTCCATTCTAAATATCTTACAGTTTTATCTGTCAGTCATACCTCAATAAAGCTGAAATAAAATAAATATTTGGGTTATTTGCCCCCCCCCATAATAGATAGCACTGTAATGTCTTCATGGCCCCCTTTTTTCCTTGTTTCTTCAATTCGAAAATATTTAACTTGAGGGAATGGGCCAAGGTTTGCTGAAATTTCAGCATGGAAGACCAAGTGGAAAGAAGTCCATTGAGAACAGAGGGGAGCATGACTGGAGGTCATCTTGGTTTCAGTCCTCCGAGGGGACAGAGGGAGGTGTGTCTGAAACCAGGCTCGTGTTGCTTTCAAGGTCATAGCTGGTGGTCATAGACAATTGCTGAAAGGGATGTTTGGCTTGGGAGCAGAGATGGCACTGACCCTGAAGACTGAAAGACCTGACAAAGGCCAGATTGCAAGACTAGATTCCATCTGGGAGGCAGTTCTAAAGGAGAATCTCAATTTTTTTTTTTTTTTAAGGTCTGCTCCAAAAGATAATCATGGTTTTAATCCCTCAGGGCAGGAATTTGGGCTGGAGGGTAGAGAACCCCAAGCAGAGCTTGTTGGGGGAAGCTGAGCTTTACAAGTTGATCAGTACTTAGCCCATCTAGGATTTAAGCACCCAGACTGTTTCTTGGTCCCAGCCTGGATAGGAAGCCAATCCCTACTCTACTGCGTGAATCTGCTGAGGAAGTCTGCAAAGCTGAGCAAGGAAGGCAAAGTCCCTGATCTCTGGCTAGGACGTGGGGGGAAGGCTGTGACAGAAATTGAAAACTAGTGTTCATTGATTGTCTCACCAGTGGGTCCATGGGAGTCAGGAGAGGTCGGAGATGAGATGGAAGTACTACACTTACCCCTCTTCCTTGAATTTGTGGTATCGTTATGGAAACAAGCACATTATAAAATTGGTTACTCACCATGAGCTACTCTGCTGATACAGAGACCAGAGTAGTAATACATAGTGTCTGAGGAGCCTGAGGTGTTGGATGATTTCAGCAGTGCCTGAGTTCAATGAGAGTGTTTAAAACTGTGTCTTTGCTTTGATGATAATCTGCAGAATACATATTTTTATCGGGTACAAACACAAGCCTTCTCATTTGCAGTGATAATTTGTATTTAAAGTATGTTTTCATAACCTAAAACTTTAGTTTCTTAAGTTAATGCAATTCAAACTAGAGTCCAAAAATACTCTTCTGGGTGCATACGTTTTTAAAGAAACTGTAAGCATGGAGGATAGAATCCGGATCTGAGCCATGAAGAATGGGTGGGCTCACGTGGGTACAAAGAAGAGAGAAAAGTGTTTCCACAAGAGGCGAGAGTGTGAGATCAAGGATGAGCATGATTCATTTAGGGGACCTGGAACTTGAAGAATACTTCAGTTTCAGGTTTTAAATCCTGCCTCCTGACCTTGACATGGCAATAGTTTTGGGAACCCTGTTTTCTCTGTTTCCTTGATTACCTGCCTTCTTCTGATGGGTGCACGAACTTTATGACATCTTTATTGAGAACGTGACTCTCACAACCCCTTTAAAGGGTCATCTTCTGACCCTCACATTACTGATCAGTATGTAACGTGAAACTTTCTTTGTGTGCCAGAATGTGAATTTTGTCTCTGCAGGACTGTACTTCTGAGCAGTTCATGATTCTAGCAGAGACGTCCAAAGGAGGGTGCATTGCATTACCACGCTGGGTATTTGCCTGCTGCTCAGGAAGCAGGTGGTCCATCGAGGACCAGGACACTAACAGGAAATTGTCTTTTTTATGGAAGAACCTCACCTGTACTTTGTTAGGCATTTGTTTTTCTCAAATATCATCGATGGCCTCTCGAATTATTTTTCTTTTGTACAAAAAGCATCCCAGATCAGTGTTCTTTTTTTTTTCTTAAGCTTTTATTTATTTATTTGAGAGAAAAAGAGCACAAGGAGGGGCAGTGGCAGAATGAGAGGGAGAAACAGACTCCCCACTGAGCAGAGAGCGCTACGTGGGGCTTGATCCTAGGACCCTGGGATCATGTCCTGAGCCAAAGGCAGAGGCTTAACTGACAGAGTCACCCAGGTGCGCCCCGCCGCCCCCTCTCCAGATCAGTGTTCTTTATGGTTCTTCATTTTACAGTAGTTTAATGAGATTTATTACTAAAACAGGGTTTGTGTTTGTTGATTACATCATGTTTGTTAATTACATCAGAGGGCAAGGCTGTTTGTTCAGATGTAGGCTGACAACTACTTGGTCTTTTTCAATCTTCTTTGCTAAGTAAAACTTTCTTTTTTTCCCCCCCCTTTACAGATTCCAACAAGATCATGGCGGAGCACAGCCACAAGCAAAAGCCGCTCGATTTACAGAATGGTAGCTTAGAGGCCAGCTTTGTGGCAAATTCCCTCGAGGACAGTTCCCCAAACATGATGGAGAGCCTGAGCCCGAAGAAATATTCCTCCAGCCTGAAGTTTAAAGCCAATGGAGACTATTCGGGCTCTTACTTAACCCTCTCACAACCTGTGGCTGCTAAGAGAAGCCCTTCCCCTCTGGGATCCAATGTCAGGAGCAGCCCCTCGCTGGCCAAAATCCAGGGAAGCAAGCAGTTCTCCTGTGATGGAACTGACAAAAGTATTTCCATGAAACCACCCACCCCTCTCCTCAGCACTTCCCCCTCCCTCAGTGGGTACCCACTTGGGAAAGCGGACTTTGATCATTATACTGGCCGGGACAGCGAAAGGTCCTTGAGGCTCGCAGAGAAGCCTCCCTATTCCAAATACAGCTTAAGGAATAAATCCCATGACAATGTCTACTTTCTCGGGGGGCTGGAAGGCCGAAAGGCGTCTGGCTCACTCCTGACCATGTGGAATGGAAGTTCCCTGAGCGACACTGGCCCCTCTCCCATCAGCAGATCAGGGGCGGCAAGCATGCCTTCAAGCCCAAAGCAAGCCAGGAAAATGAGCATCCAGGACAACCTGACCCTTCAGCCCAAGCTGAGCCGACACAAGGAGCTGGCGTCTGAAAACATCGGTTTAAGAACCAGGAAGTATTCAGGGAGCAGCCTGAGTCACATGGGAGCCTATAGCCGCTCTCTCCCCAGGTTACACAGGGCCACTGACAACCAGCTGACGCCCCTCAGTTTGCCTCCCAGAAACTCTCTGGGCAATTCCAAACGAACGAAACTGGGGGAAAAGGATCTACCTCATAGCATCATAGACAACGACAATTACCTGAATTTTTCTTCTTTGAGTTCAGGGGCTTTACCCTATAAACCCTCCGCATCGGAGGGGCATCCTTATGTCAGTTCCACCCTCAGCGTCCCTGCCAGTCCTCGAGTGGCTCGGAAGATGCTTCTGGCCTCCACCTCCTCCTGCACCTCTGATGACCTTGACAGGGCTCCCTACTCTGGGCCCGGCCCAGGGCACTTGTTTCCTCCTGGGGACGTGTTTTCCGCCAGGAGGAACTTCTCCTGTGGGTCTGTCGAGTTCGATGATGCAGACCTGGAGAGCCTCAGACAGGCCTCAGGAACTCCCCAACCCATCCTTCGGGAGAGGAAAAGCAGCATCAGCTCCATTTCCGGCCGTGATGACCTGATGGATTATCACCGGCGGCAGAGGGAGGAGAGACTCAGGGAGCAGGAGATGGAGCGACTGGTAATCCTCATCTGACTTGACCTCACTCTTCCCTTGAGCAGCTTCTTGGAGACACACTTGGAGGCCTGTAGGAGCTCCACGTGCCCCAGCCACTGCTTTGCCTTTCTAGAATTCTGCTGTCCTTCCCTTTCTCAGTCCCTATTGCTGGTCGTGTGGGGGCGTTTGAAGGCCTACCTGTACCTAGTGTTAGATTACGTGGCTCTGCAGAGTCCTCTCAAGTGTAGATTCCTGATAAACCTAACCAAGTGGTTGTGAATTTTACTGAATTTCTTATAAGTCTTTCAAACTTTTCTTTAAGACAGTGAATAAACACTGATTTGTATTACGGCTGCCATCAAATTGATATGGCATGGTCTGATAGGAGTAATTGGGGAAATCACGACTATTTAGGAATTCAACTTTTCTGTAGAGCAAGTGGTCTAGAAAATTGAAAGGTCAGCTAAATGTTGCTCAGCCTTTTTCCTGCTCTGTACACATACGCATACCATCCCCCCCCACCATACTCCCTTCTGCAGTGTCTCCTAGTCCATACAGTGACACCCAAGTACACATCCAGGGAAGTTTTTTGAGTTGTCTTTTTCTGTTGAAAATGGATTTTTGCTTACTGTGGGAAATACTGAAAACAGTAAGAAAGGGGGATACTATCCCTTGAGAGTCCCATTCATGAATGAGGGCAAACTGCTGCATTCTTACTCTTTTTCTTTTAAGCATAGACTTTTTTGTCTATGTGTTTCTTAGGACGAACAGGGTGAGAATTGACTTTAATTCATTAATGCCGAGTTGTTCCTTAAAGAGGGATGCAGCAAGGGGATAAAGCTGATTTACAAAAGTAAAAGAGTATCAAAAGGATTTTCATTGCCAAAAGAAAGTATGCTGGAGTAAGATTTCTGAATCACATACCAAGCTGAGTAATGCCCTACAGGATAACAAAATCGTAACCTTTGGATTCGAATGGGCAGAAATCATTTGCATCTATCCAGGACAAAAATTGTTTGGAATTTTACACAAAGAATCTTTTGTGTCCCTCATAGATGTTGATAAGTCAGTATTGATCCTTGCAGATAGCCTAACCCGTAATAGTGAATGCAAATGAATGTACATACCCTTAGAAAATTCTGTATTCCTTGGGTGGCTCTGTTAGATGGTGCTCCAGTATGACAGTTTCCTTTGTTATCGTAAATAATCTTCCAGAGATTTTTCATGGTCACAAAAAGGCATTGTATTTGGGCTTGATTCATTGACAGTTCAGGAGAAGTTTTAATTAGCATATGAATAAGCCTTCTTGTATGCAGCGCAGCAAATCTGGCTCTGTAGTGTGATGAACAACTCTTACTTTTTTTTAAATTATTATTATTATAGTATAATTGACACACAGAGTTACATTAGGTAAGTTAGTTTCCGGCGTACAACATAGTGATTCTGCAAATCTATACCTTAGGCTAAGCTCACTGCAAGTGCGGCTCCCATCTGTCACCTTACAAAGCTATGCCATTGCCTCTGTCTCCTAGGCTGTACCGTTCATCCCTGAGCAGCTACTCTTAGTGAAGCCAGAAAGTTAAGCTCTATTGGATAATTTATTAAGGAATCCAGGAGAGCATTTCAGTGGCTTCCCTCACTCCAGTGATCTTCCTGAGATGCTATTATTTCCTCTTCTGTTCCAAGGACAGGAAACCAACCTCGAAAATCACCTCCAGTTTTCATCTTTAGCACTTTTAAGTATTGGTGAATTTCTCGTTCCTCCAGGTTCCCCAAATCTATGAAGGTTCCTGACAATCCCGGAAGTGACCTTCCTTACTGCCTGTCAAGTCAGGGTCTTGTAAGTCACAAACTAGGTCTTGGTTCAATTTCTTGGGAGAATTTTATGGATATTGCCTCCAAATATAAAGTTAGATCCCTTTTTTGCTTCATAATGGCCTTTATGATATTCAATGAAATGAGGCTTATTTTTAAATATGACGTTTTGGTTTTGGCCCCTGTTGCTTAGTCCGTTTGTCTAATTACATCCCAGTAAAAGGGAAGAGAGATTCTTATTGGCCCATGCAAGTAATGTTATTGCTTTTAAAAAATAAAGTGACTGGGACACCTGGGTGGCTCATTCAGTTAAGCTTCTGCCTTCAGCTCGGGAAGTGATCCCAGGGTTCTGGGATCCAGCCCCATATTGGGCTCCCTGCTCAGCAGGACGTCTGCTTCTCCCTCTGCCTGCCACTCCCTCTGCTTGTGCGCATGCTGTCCCTCTCTGGCAAATAAATAAATAAAATCTTAAAAAAAAAACCAAAAAACTAAAAAAAAAAAAAAAAAAGTGAGTTAGGAAAAATATTTCTTCCTGAATTCTAAGGGACCAAGGAGAAGAAGCTACCCTTGAAAGAATGTTTCCTTTAGTTTACAAAATCAGAGTCAACTAAATTGAGGGTTAGAGATAGATGGAAATGAATGCTAAAGGTGTACCCCATTTAGACAGTAGAATATTACACACAACGCCAATGATTTTCCATGAGACATATGGAAATTAGATTTCCAGGATCAGTTCGATGAGTTCTATAGAATTCTTATTCCTTTGCATCTTGGGTCATCATCTTGATTTCATGAAGTCATCTATTCATGGACTGAAAAAAGTCCTGGTTTAACCACCTTGTACTGCTGTTTTGTGCTTGCTTGTGCAGTGTCAGCTAAGAACTCAGAAGCCTCTACTCACAAGTCTGTTTCTGAAATCTCGAGATTGAAGAGAGTATCTGGTAAAGGTCTATCTACAAGGCTCTGAGACTCTTTGTTTAAGGCACATTCTAGTCTGTAACTAGCCGCAGAGTGTGTAAGCAACCACGAGAGGAAAGCAGAGACCACTTGGTGAGGGTAAGGGTAAGTGTCTGTGGTCCATCTGTGGTTAAGCTCATGAAGAGTAATCAGCAAGGAGAGGTAAAATCCTCTGTCGGTGTGTAAGACATTGGTCTTATTTAACCAACGTTTCCCCAGAGGGTGAGAACGTATCACAGAGCGTGAGGACATTCACAGACACCCAGGATCTTTCTGTAAAGTACGCCATCTCTGAGCATTATTTGTATTATAATATTTTACCCATACAAAATTAGCCTAGGGAAGGCTGAGCTTCTCATTTGACTTGACAGATCTTCCTATGCTATTTTTGATGGTATTGAGCTATTCATAAATAAGGGGCATAGCAAACCTAATTAATTCTGACATTCTTTTTGTAAGGTTAAGGAACAAATCTGGTGCTTGCCCAGGGATCAAGTGGGAAAACTTAAGGATGGATCATGTATAAAAGATAAGTTGGAAAAAAATTTTTTTCCCTGAATTTAAGGTCCGATTTTGGGAAGCAAAATCAAATATGAATTAGAGAAGATTTCATTACGTGACTAATACAGGATTGTGGATGCATGAGAACAATGAATATTTGCAGTTTGTCTACTGAATAAAGCAACAACATTTTATAATAAACAAGAAATCTTAAATCATTAGGAAATGAGGAACTTTCATTTGAAATATTTAGGGATATAGCACAAAAGTTTCTCCTGTGAGATACCAAATCTCTCTGCTTTCCTGGGCAAGTTATGTAGAAAAATAACCTTTTATTACCTTTTGTAAGCATAGGCTGATGTCTCCAAGATCATTCTGTCATTTCAATATAGGTAACTGCATTTTAGCTTTATGTTTATAAGGTATTTGTCATGCATTACGTTTTTTAAAATTACTTTATGAATAAACCCATCAAAGTGTGCAAGCTTTGCTATAATTTTAACATTTTATTACATATTTATAGCTTACTATTTCAAGTATTATAAACCAAATCAAATAAAGCTCCCTTTGTGCAAACCTACAATTTTTAAATTTTCACCATCTTTTGTTCTTCATGGTCTTTTGTCAATTCTAGAACAACCAGATACTTTAAGAAAAAAAGTATCTAACTTAAAGATATTGGAAATTATGCTTAAACTGACACATCACAGAACATGATTACTATTGATATGAAAAGGTGTGTCACAATTATAATTCAGTTTAGTTGAGCACAACTTTTATATTTTTCTTCACCTTAAGCATTATATGGAAGTGATCTTAGCTTATCTTTTCAGCAAACTAATATTATAAGACATTTTAAAAAATTCAGGTAAACTAATCCCTTTGTGATAAAATAAATCCAAACTTATTTTAAGTATGAAATTATAGGAGCGCCTGGGTGGCTCAGTCGGTTGAGGATTGACTCTTGGTTCTTGCTCAGGTCATGATCTTAGGGTCCTGGGATCGAGCCACACAATTGGGCTCTGTGCTCAGTGTGGAGTCTGCTTGGGATTGTATCCTTCTCCTTCTGTCCCTCTTCTACTCATGCTCTTTCTCTTTCTCTTAAATGAATAACTCTAAAAAAAATAGGAAATTACATATGTACTATACCGTACATTGATAAAATAAGGAAAAAACATACAGCTGATTTTTAAACCAGGTTGTTAAATCAGTCTGACTTGTACGAGAGTTTGCTTTGATCACGTAAACTTGCTTTCTAAGGAAAAAAATGCTTCTGAAATCAGCATTTTTTGAGTGGACAGTTCTTTTTCTTAAAATGTGAACATATTTTAATTATTAGAATTTCATTGCATTTTCTTAGAATTTTGGAAATGTTAGATTTATCTAGATGCTGATTAGTCTCTAAAGCAATCAGAACAGAGGTTCTTTATTTTAGTTTATTATCCTCAAGAAGTAGGAAAATACTTCCCTCATACACAGTGATTTTTTTCCCCCCTGAGGTACAGAGCCTCAGATGAAAAACTTAAAATTTGGTTCTATAGCTTCAACTACAGATCAAAAGTAAATACTGGAACATAAAATTTACTTGTTCCATATCTCAAGAGACTGCTCACTGTTCCACTGGGCACAAAATAGTGTCCTGATTTGAACTCACAGAAAGCGAAATAACCAACAAATTAAAACAAGAACAAATACAAATGTTCAGTCAACTCTCACCTGAGCAAGGTTGAATTTCAGTTCTACCTGCAGAT